AGGTGAGAAATACAAGAACAAAAGTACTAATAGTAGAATTATGCATAAAATAATGATCGCATATCGACTGAGCTGTATGAAGAACGCTAGAGCTGTAATGACGGCGAATGAGTGGTCCGCGACAGCCGCGTGCGGCGAATCGATTACCCAAAATCGTTCCTGACGCCCGTCTCCCGCCTCGTTGCCGTGGTCGTTCTGCCGCGTAGTGTGTCGCACGCGACGAGCGGCCCATCTGCTCGGCAGACGGCAGGAGGCAACCAACCCGCTTCGCCCCTACCCCCAACCTGAGGATTAAATTTTTACCAAATATGGTTGAAGCACGCATTAACCTGATGGTTTATGGCCCATAATAACTTCGGCAACGCATGACTCATGATAAAATCGAGATTGTGGAGAAGATGAGGATGCCATTTGTTTTCATTTGTGGTATTATACCACTTCTTGATGACATTTCTATTTTCCTGGATGTCTTGAATGCATACGACAACAAGCACATCGAAATATCACCGAATGATCAAAAGATTACCTCTAAACTTCATTCTGATCACTGCCGTCTACTCATTGAAAATTTCAACGGTGGAAGAACTCTGTGAATAAGTTGGGCTCAATTGAATGTTTAGTTCTTGTCGTCGGCTTCAACTCAAAAAACATTACTTTACAACTCGTAGAGCTCGTCACAAATGAGTTTCTCAGCCAACGTTTCAGCCCCTAACATATCTTTGGAGATAACGTGTGGGAGGATTTCCCTTCCACTTTGAGCTAGTAGAGCTCCTCCTTTTGAACTCCTCCACTTCTTTTACTAAATGTAGGGGTTGAAACGCTCGGCAGAGAGTGAATATACGCAATATTCGGTAGTTTTGTCGACGCTCAAATTCAGCAGAATCCAAGAGTCCACGGGAAGGCTTGAAAACGTCAACTTGGAGGTTTCAAACTGCTGCTCGCTCAAACGACAACAGGATCAGCCGGTATTCAGTAAGATGGAGTCCATCTCTGATAGTCCACAACGGTTTCAAAGACAATGGAAAAAAACTTTATTATCAATATACACATTTTATTGGATAATCTATGTAAATCATATAGGTACATGTCAAAACATTCTTCACACTCCTGGTGCATCGTTGATAGTGACGGTGTGGACCTGGAAATAGAAAGCTCAGAGTACAGGAGGGATCGAGGGTTCTCAAGGACAGGACAGGACAGGAAATCGGGTCAAGTCTGGAGGCGATATGGTCAAAGAGGGATAAAAATGGGACATGCTGCAATCGTTTTTCAGTTAGGAAGCTCTAAAAATGATTAGGTACCAATCTAAGACCCCATACACGTTCCCCTATGTACTGGTAGAATTGAACGACCAGTTTAGGAGTAAACTAGACAGGCTGCAAAACACCCCTGAAAATCAGACCCTCGAAAAAAAAGCAAGTTTTGTTTCTGGAAGACTCTCTGTATACGGTAATCTCACAGAAGCAGTTTCCACTCATAAAGGTATTGTCATCAGCTCCTAAAAGTGCAGCAAGGTATGGGCAACTGATCCAAACAGGCCCCATTCTAGACGCCTCCCACNTCTCACCTCAACATCTCCGTCAATTTCGAGTGTCTTGATGTCGTTAGGTGATCCGCGATGTGAGAATGTGGCAAATCGTTTGCCATTGAAGAAGATTTGGAATGAGAATTCCTCGTTGATGATGGTGATGTCGAAACTGAAACGATCAATACCGATCAATACGGTGGCACCTGTTAGAGCCCCTTACTAAATTCTACTTTACTATATCGTATTCTAATAGCTACTATAATAACACGACTGAATCTTAGCGGTTGACAACTAAAATTTTAGAGCAGTATTTGTCAAGAATCTCGGTCTTTCCTTCCACGGAGGAAGGGGAGAGAGAGGGAGTAGAGGAAGGTACAGGGCTGCAAGTCGATTCAATTTGGTTTTGTTACGTTACAGAAGCAATTAGAAGGGAATATAGAAAAGTACGACCTTTTCACCCAGCTTATGCAGTACGTTCACTCTATAGTTCACTTACACTTCTCCTTTGCTGATTGGCATGTTGCCATCTCGCTCCTCTTTGCCCCACACATTGTTGTTCATTGCATTACGAACGATGGCTCCTTCGTTGAAACGGATTGACACCTGGAAATCAATCGATAATTGATCGAATCTAACCAGCAACTCAAGACTTCAGATTTTATCCTAAGATAATCTTCAGAACAGGGCGGAGGTGTTGTAGTGGCAAGTGGCGCACTATATCACACGCACGGTCAGGGGTTCAAATCCCGGATCGATGCCCGCCTAGGCCAACCAAGCCTTCCATCCCCCNCCCCCGGGGTCGGTGAATTGGTACCAGACTCGTCTGGGAGGATAAAAGCACTGACTTGTACATCGGCTGGCCACCGCAAGTAATTGTATGGGCCACATACGCACTCATTACGCCACTACGATTCTTAATGGAAGTCGAGTGCGGGGGTGCATCCCCCAGACGGGATTGATTAACGCCAAAAACTTTATCCTTTATCGTTAATCTTCAGAACATTTTGTTATTGAAAAATTGCGTGGTTTCCGAACCGCGCGGGAAAGTCTGCCGCATCGCAACCGCGCGCCCATGTCGTAAAAGTTTTGTCCCCGTGAACGAGCGCATACGAGCTCTTTTTCCAATCGAAAGCTAATTACAGAGGCCCAAATCACATGGTTTCTCATTCTTTCCCACCTTTTGACAGGAATTGAATGAAATTGGGACCCTTCCCTATTTGAGGCGTTCAGCAAAGCGCATCTATGCATTTGGATCCTCCCAGGTCTCATTAGTAATGGGATGAAAAAATCTCTGAAAGACCAAGGTTGACATTACCTGCAGGGCGAATTCCTTGTTTTCGCGGTAGAGGTTGATGTTGACCCGCTTTCCTGAAAACACATTTACCTCCTAGCGACTGGAGACCGAAATAGCACAGAAGTATCCGATATAAATAACTGTATCTCGGTCTAGAGAATTGCTTACCTGTAGGGAGGGCAGAGATGTCAAGACGCTTTCCGGGTTTCAATTCTGCAACCGCCATGTAGGGGTTGGGGAAGATTCGGCCACCATAGTGGAACAGACGAAGTTTTACCAGATCGCCTCGAATTGAGACGTGGTCAATCTGGAAAGCAAAAATGATTTATTGATTTTGTCGATCTCCCGTTATCCATTACAACCAAATTCTTTCGAAAAACAAGTGGTTCAAAGGTGATAATGAATTGATTTAATAGCTATCAATGGAGGGCATATTTTTCCCGCCTTCCCTTTGCGACGACTCTGTGTAAGAGGAATATAGAGCTTGAAGATTTACGATTCCAAATAGAAAACGGAAACATGGCGCATTAAGGACCCCATCATGTCATTGTCCTCTTTTCAGTGTTCCCTGGTACCTCCCCATTGTATACGTGGAATCCCTTAAATATATGGTTTCTCATCCGTCCTCCCGAACAAGCATCTACAACACAGTTGCACCGACGTCGTACTTATTCATCTCGTCATTGGTACGAAACCTAACCCTCATTTATTTCCCTTCCCTGCACGTCTGAGATTAAGGAGAAAGGTGCCTGTCCCACCAAGGCAACATTTGCGTTTTCTCATCAACGATTTACCTCCTCTAAAGACTTTTGATCACTACTGCGATCTTCTGTAAAGTTTAAAGGCGTGGCTTACTCCCTAAGAATCAATAATATCATGGACTTACTCCATCAAGGGGCATACGCTGCTCGAATGTACCGACTTCAACGCGGTTGGCGAATACCTGAAAGACGGAAGTGTTTATCTTTATATGGCTCATAACAAATTGTTGGTTATTTATTGTTTTGCTTATTTACTTCATTCAATAAACAAAAATCTTAGGCAATTTCGCTCAAAAAGGCAGTTTGCTCTTATCAGATTGCTGTCATCCCCGAACGAATCCGTTTACTCTCTATCACCTATTCTAGATTGATCCAAAACCGACGGTTCGGGGATACTGTGAGATGTGCTTTTAGCAGAAGTGAAAGTTACTCCTGTCAAACGCCTTCTAAAAGTTACTCCAATATCCCGAGCTGGGTAATGAGTAGATCCTACCGGTTTCCACTTTCTGGAATTTTCCATTCCCCTATAACTTTAACTTTGAATCCGAAATTCCTAATCGTTCATTGGGCAGTTTCTTCAGAATTATTTTTACTTGAAGTTTTCAGTATAATCCCCTTGACTGAATAGCCGACCAATCGATAAATCAATAAGTCTCGCGAAATGCTGTCCTCCCCATACTCACTTGGAATTTGTTTTCCAAAATCCGAACTCGTAGATCGAATTCTTGTCCAGCTTTGAAAGGATTTGAAATACGCTGCTCGTTTTCAGACCAGTTACCGTCTTTGAATGTGTTGTAGACAAATTTTCCGGAGAAGATTCCTGTATATCGATTTCCAAATAATCAATAAATCGATCCAATCAGAAAATCCCTGCATATCCTTTCATTCACTTACCTTCGTCAAATCGAATCGAAAAGTGCAATGGGAGATCGGCATCTTTTGCGGCACCTTTGTGGAAGTTGAAGTCCACTCTAAACTTGACGTTTATGACTCATAAAATGTGCTGAACAGCTTCAAAATGGCTATACGGATACGCCGTGCATGTTACTCTTCTCTACCACAGCAGATCCGATGGGAAGGGGCGTGTGTGGATAAATCAAAAGTTCTCATCACTCACCTTGTCGGCTTGTCACTTAAAGTTCCGACCGCATGAATTGTCTGTCCAACTACGAATGCTTCACTGACACGCGTTTTGAATGGTAGCCGCTGAAAATTAAAAAGGTACTAGGATAGCTAACGGGAGATGTAGTACTCAATTCCATTGGGAGACGGGCAGTAGGAACGGTTTTATGGAATCGATCCGCCGCGCGCGGCTGTCGCGGGCCATTTCTCTCGTTATAACGTTATTTCATACAGCTCAAGCGCTATGCGATCATTAATTTTGTCATGATTTCTTGATTCTGCTGCTAGTTCTTTTGTTCCTAAATTTCTTAGTTGCTGCTTCATTCTGCTACATTCCTTCGCGCGCGGCGTCTCTCTCGCCGCGACGCGAAAATTTCGCTGGTACTGCACCACACCCAATTTCATCCCACAAACCCCATCCTTCTTGTGTGGAGTTACTAGATCCAGGAGTGATACCCGATTTCATCTTACAAATCCCACCCCTCTTATGTGAAGCTCCTCGATCCGGACTGGAGAAACCTAGGGGATGTCGAAGCTTTCCCTTGGCTTCCTAGCACCGATGAGTAGGACATATTTGACATTTTCGGATAGTTGAGCTGCCACAAGAGTTCAAAACTTCAATACACCCACCCCGTCCCCTGTGTCTTCTCCTACTGAGACCCATTTTCAAAGGCTCGAATGCTCTATGAGAAATGACCATAATACATACGTAATCCATCTCGCCGATGTATTTCCGGTAGTTCTTCTCTTTAGGATCAGTGGCGCTGGTGTCCGTGCCCAATGACTCGTCCTTTGCGACAGCATACGCTATCAGACATAGCAACACTAACCCTGAATCAGCCAAAATTGAAATTTTGATCAAGTTGGAAGTACTTCGAAGGGATTTTCTCTGTCTGAACAATCAGACTCACCCTTCATGGCGGCTTCTCTGATGTTATCTGAAAATAGTCGAGTGAATCGAAGAGATCGTTGAGTTTAAATCAGTAAAGACGAATAATGCATAAGAAGAGACAGACAAGTACGAAATAAGAGCTCTATTATCCCAGCCTGTTTCCAGCCATCTTTTTCGTATAGGATTACCCGAACCAGTAAGCCTTGGAATAGAAGCCCAGAAAAAGTCACTCCGACCTCGTGCGATATCGAGGAGTTACCGGAAGGGATATAAAACGTTTGACGTCAATTACCCCTCAATTCGGTTGAGTATTAAGTTCTGACTTTATCTATCCCTGAATTATTTCTGATTTTAAATGTGACTTTGGCAACCCCTCCTATGTGAACAAAACGTTTATTCTTCAGAGAGCCAAAGATCTCTTGCAGAAAATGAAGTGACTTTATATGGGTGTTTAGCATATGAAAGTCTTTGAAAACATAACCGTTTCCAAAGTGGTAAAACTCAATCAGGATTCGGCAGGATTCCATTCAAAAAAGGGGAGGAGTTGGGATACCGCATCTCCCAGAGAAAACTAGGGTGACATTAGATCAAATGATTTTTCATGGGTTCAAAACCAATAGAACCTGACATGGAAAACCCACATGTGCTAGAAAACTTCATTAATCCCCCATCACCTCTGGGAGGTACGGAATGATCAAAGTCGCAAGCCCAGAGGTTAGTAGTAGCATGGGAAAAAGCTTAGTCAGCCACAGAATAGATCTGAGATCCAACTATGAGCCTTCTGTCCCTTTGAGACCAGCTATAATAATGTGAGTCAGACAAGATTGGACATTAAACATAGAACCTATCGCCCTCCACCACCTTCCTATACGTGGACCGACTACGCCCTCGATCACTCCTCGATGCTGAACAGAAGTCGAACGCAGTGCACATCGCGAAACTGATCTGCTCACTGACAAAAACCCTGACAATGTTGAACTCAACGATGAGATATGCTTATATAGACCTCTGGAAAATTGTCGACTCTAACGGTTACCTACAGAATATGATTACCACGACGGCGACAAGGATTGCTCAGTGTGAGGTTTCCCTGGTTCCACCGAATGTTATCGCTGTNNNAAGTTTCGCAGATGGAAGTGGATTTTTTCGATTTCCGGAAGGGCGATAGTGGAATTTCAAGAAAGCACTTTTCTAAACGGATATGTACTTCCCATTTCTTAGAAGATAAGATGAAGATTGCCAAAAAAACGTGTTCACGGCTTTTCGAGGCAGGAGAAAAACGTTAGGGAAAAAGCTGCAAGCAGATATCCGATGACGGCTTGACATTGCGAGAAGGAGATGAGAGGATTCGGAAGTCTGGAAGAGAATGGTAGACGAGACGGCTGTTTGTGTGCGATGTGTATATGTGTGTGTGTATGTGTGGATGTGTGGGGGCTGGCCAGGCGTCTGTTGGGTTTCGAGGATTTATCACCTTCAATTCTCAAACATAGCCATTTATCAACGTTTATCCTATCAACACGCACCCATTGCACCATCACACCAACCAACCAGCTGGCGGCTAGCATCTTGTTGAATTCACCATAGTATATACGAAATCCAAAGAACAACACATGATGTTCGTCGATCCCAACGATCAGAGTTCAGCGCCGACTTCTGCTATGTGAATAAATATAAACACCGCTGTGACTCTACTAACTTCCCCCGAGCACATGATCGTCGGCGATTCAACCACCCGGGACTCAAGTCTTTTAACCTGCTAGACTGGTAAGCCTTCGAACCCCTGGAATGATCTCAGAAGTTGAGGTATAGAGACTTTCAGTTTAGGATCTGGTACCCGGATCATGTCTGTAATAGTGCGGCACTTAGCCATAAGCTATCCTTGCCCAAAATACTCTAAGGGGCAAGAACACTGATTTGTGCAGTGACTACTGATCATTGTCTGGACCAAATGCCATTGAAGTTAGCCATGATTCCGACTGCAGGTCGAAATCGTGGCGCATCCAGAGAGAAACAACAATCTGCACCTTCAGCGCCCAAGCACGGGTCCATTTGACCTTTAGTTTTTCAGACTTTAAAAACAATATCAAGCACCGAGGGCAGACCTACTGATACACTCTGAGCAGAAGTGAACCAAAGATCTCACGAAAAGAGCTCGCCAGCTCAATCGGCATTTTTTCAACGTACTCCTAAGAGCTAGGAACCAGATCAAGAAAAGGGGAATGGAGTTCAACGACGCAAAATAGTCTCCTTTGGCGCAACATCTGGGAAAGCAGGAAGGCAGAACATGGGAGATGACTTTTGTTTTGAGAGATCGCCGGATTCTGGATGATTTGAAAAGAGTAATTTAAACCGGATTATATTCGACTACGATCTA